AAAAGGTGACTAGTCTGGCCAAGGGAATTTCTAGCTGGTATGTTCCAGTTGTCTAGAATGGTGAGGAGCCTTGGGGACCACCCTGGGGTTTTCCACTTGGAATATTTTTTTGCTTTCTTCATCTGACTTCTGTTTCTTTGCAGAACTTTGAGCTGTGTAATGGCTGAGTGGGGGCAGAAGTTATAGGAGCAAAGAGACAGTATTATTCTTAGGGTTGGGTGTTTAGGAATACTGTGATAACCCAGATACCCCTTCTCTAGTGAGGTTCCCCAAGGGGATGTACTGCCTGGATGAGAGCAAATAGGAAATAGGTGTGCTGCCTTATTGTTTGCCAGGGGCCCCTAACTCCCATATAGGGAAACTCTGGTAAAATATGCTGAAGTGTGTAACTTAGTTAAAAGTCTGGACGGGGCCTCTTACTCTTTTTTTTTTTTTTTTTTAATTGTACTTCAGGTGAAGGTTTACAGAGCAAATAATTTCTCATGAAACAGTAGTACACATATTGTCTTATGACATTGGTTAACAACCCCACAACATATCAACCCTCTCCTTTCTCAACTTTTTTTTTTTTTTTGGTGAAAATATACATAGCCAAAGATACGCCATTTCAAAAATTTCTACATGCACAGTTCAGTGACATCGGCTACGCTCTTCCAGTTGTGGTGCTATTCTCACTTTAGATGAAGGTTTACAGAACAAAATCGTTTCTCATTAAACAGTTAGTACACATGTTGCCCTATGACAATGGTTAACAACCTCACTACACATCAACACTATCCTTACTCAACCTTGGGTTCCCTATCACCAGCTTTCCTGTCCCCTTCTGCCTTCTAGCCCTTGTCCCTGGACTGCTGTGCCTCATTAGTCCCATTTTGTTTTATGGGGCTGTCCAATCCCCAGCTGAACAGTGAACCTCAGACATGACTTCACCACTGAGCTAAAAGGGTGTCTGGGGGCTATACTCTCGGGGTTTCCCCAGTCTCCTTTTCTTACTCTTTTAAACCCAAATATATACAACAGGGGATTTTAGAGATCAAAAGGATAACTTCATTGCAAGGCCAACATTAAATAATATTAGATCGCATTCATATGGTGCTTGAAATGTGCCAGGCACTTTATATGTACTCACTCATCTTGATCCTATCAATAGTCTTATGAGGTAAAAACTATGATTATCCTCATTTTAAAATGAAGGAACTGAAGCACAGAAAGAGAACAAGGTGGCTATTACTGTCAACAAAAGAGAGTTCTTGGATGGTATGGCCTGCCCCTAGGAAATATGGCCTAAACGGTGTCCTGACTTAATCAGAAGAAAGCCACCGTGCAGGTCAGAGGAGAGCAGGAGAAACTCTCCTCCCCCTCCCCCTGCTGGAACTACCAAGGCAAAATCATTGTCACAAGTCAGCTGATCCCAGTGTCCTTTCCTGGTGGGCTGTTCTCATGTCCTGGGGACTACAGGGGTGAGTGCTGATCCCAGTTAAATCCCAAGAGGCATCAAGAGCCAATTTCCTGAAAAATAAAATAGGCAAACATGGCCTCCGATATTGTCCTTTTCCTTTCCCACTCTCTCACCCGCCTCTCTTCACTCCCTTTGACTCACCAGGCATCTTGCATGAGCCCCATTCTAAAGGACCTGGCTCTCTCCACTAGGGTGAAGTCACCAGACTTTGGAGTTGCATGCAGCTGGTTCAGCTCTGTCACCAGCTAGTCCTTAGTGGCCTTGGGCAAGTAAATTTCTCTAAGCCTCCATTTCCTCATCCTTAGAGTGGGTACAATAATACCTCCCAGCACGGAAAGCTGAAAGAATTGTGTAAAGTTCTTAGCATGGTGCAGTTAGCTGTAGAAATCCAGTGATCTGGTGGCAGAATTCCAGAGATGGCAGCAGGGTGATATTTGGGGCAGGGAGTTGTCCCCAAGTCTCTGTGATTCCTTCTGACAAGGGCAGAGTTCTCTGCTCTCTGTGGCATTGTGAAAGGCTAACCACAGTCCAGTGATAAAGGGGTAACGCTGGGAACCAGAGAGCTACTCCAAGGGGCTTTCTAAAGGTATATGCTAAAGTGTTTTTGAAAAAAATATAATAAGTGGTATTGGATTCAAACATTTCCAAAATATTTAGGTATTAAAAACATCAGAGGTGCAAGTCACTTCCAAATTGAATGACTGTGCAATAGCTGTTTATATACGTAGGGGGCGCTGATTCCAGGAAAGACAGATTAGGTCAAACCCCACAGTCTTGGAATGAGGGAATGACTCGGTAGAGCGTCTTCTCAAACATTTATGCGCTGAAGAATCACCTGGGGATCTTGTTAAGATGTAGACTCTGATTCCACCTGGGAATCTTGTTAAGATGCAGACCCTGATTCAGGAGGTCTGGTTTTAGGCCTGAGATGCATTTCTAACAAGGTCCCAGGTAATGCCAAGGTTGCTGGTCCAGGGACCACACTTTGAGAATCAAGGTGGTAGACAAAGCTCTTTCTCTGTCCTTCACTTACCTTATCCTGGAGGATCATTTACTGCCAGCTCCTGCTCAGATGCACATTATCTCTGCTTTACCTGGATAAGTCCCAGAATTATCTTTCCTGTCCCCAAGAGTGGCCTAAAAATGACCCCACAATTCGAAAAATCTGGCCTTTTTCACACAGCCCTAACCAGAAACTGTTCCAGGGAGAAGAGAACGCTGTAACTGAACCATAAACTCTGCCCAAGCTCGCCCTCTGCTGGTGAACAAGGGTCATTTTTCTCCCAAACCCTCACCAAACCTTTCTTGCTGCTCAAATACTCATTTTTTCTTCCAGTTAGTACAAACAGAAAAGTTGCATGACTTATTCCAAAAGTTTATTTCACTTTTGTAAATACTGGAGAATTTTCCCACTCTGTCCTTAAAATACATCCTTCAGAGGGAGCAGATACATGTTTGATTAACACTTAACTAGCAACTCTATGTTTGTTTCTATGTGGTGCCTAAAATGCCCTCACCCCGCCCCGACTTTGTTCTCCTCCCATACCCAGGCACTTTCCACAGTGGGATGGCAAGCCTTCCTTCGCACACAGCCTGAACATTACAGGTCAGGAGGGAGCAGCAGTTCCTTTTGATGTAGGGTTGGGGTTGGTAGTAGAGGCAAAGATGGTATCACCCAGAGACACTAGGGAGAAAAAAAGTTAATGGCAGGATGAGGAGATGGGAGATTAATGCCACAGATCATATCACCATAATTCATTCATTTGCAAACCTTAGAAGCAGAAGCTGGGACTCATAAACCCTGCACACAGAGAGATTATAGCCCAACAGAGGAAATCAGCACAACACTTAAGAGTGTTTGCTATATGCCATCCACCATACTGACACTACCTCGTTTGATTTCATTTAATTCTCACAGAAATCCTATGGTTATTTGCACTGTACAAATGAGAAAATTGAGGTGCAGAGAAGTTAAGTGCTAGTGACACTCCTAGTTAATGATGAAGCTAGGTGGCTTCAAGCAACATTTGTTATTGTCTCTCAGGTGTTCTGGGAGTCGAAGGGCTCAGCTGCCTGGTTCTCACTACCTACTACCTACCCATTGCTGTAGAGTCAATTCCGACTCATAGCAACCCTATAGGGCAGAGTAGAACTGCCCCAGAGAGTTTTCAAGGAGCAGCTGGTGGATTCAAACTGCTGACCTTTTCGTTAGCAGCCATAGCTTTTAACCACTGTGCTACCAGGGCTCCACAGTTGCAGTCAGATAATGGCTAAGGCTGGGCATGCCTGTGTGGAGCCAAGGCTGGGATATCTGAAAGAGCTGGGGAATGATCAGCCATCTCTCTCCACTTGGCCTCTCCATGTGGCTAGCTTGAGCTTCCTCACAGCTTGGCAGCCTTAGGGTAGCTGGACAACTTAGATGGCAGCTGGTTTCCCCCAGAGCAGATTTCCAAGAAACTCAAGCGGAAACAGCAAAATTTCTTATGCCCTAGCCTCCAAAAGCATATAGCATCATTTCCACTGTATCCTGTTGGTCAAAGCAGCTACAGGTCAGCTCAGATTCAAGGGGATAAAGGAGTGGACTCTGTCTCCAATGGGCGAATAGCTTACAAGTACAGGAGGCAAGGAATTAATAAACACCATTCTGTAAACAAGTTATCACACCAGGATTTCAATCTCGGCAGCCCAATTCCAACTTTTGAGTGCTCAACCATTATGCTTTACTCACCCCCAAATAATACAGATACGGTTACAGTGCAAATGGTTAATGAGCTCAACTGCTCACCAAAAGGTTGGCAGTTCAAGTCGACCGAGCGGTGCCTAGAAGAAAGACCTGGTGATTGACTTCTGAAAAATCAGCCACTGAAAACCCCATGGGGCACAGTTCTACTGTAAAACACATGGGATTTCCATGAGGCAGCATCGACTCAACCACAACTGATTTAGTTTTTTTTTACTGGTGGCTGGTGTAAGATATAATAGGCTGCTAACCGAAAGCTTGGAGGTTGGAACCCACCTAGCAGCTCCACTGAAGAAAGACGTGGTGATCTGCTCCTATGAAAATTACAGCCTAGAAAACCCTATGGTGCAGTTCTGCTTTGTCACATGGGGTCGCTATGAGTCAAAATCGACTCAAAGGCACCTAACAACAACAACAAAGGAGGAATTGATTAGCTCTGCCTCAGCAGGTCAGGGAAGCTTCACAAAGGAGAAATCATCACACACACACACACACACACACACCCCTCCCCTTAGTGTGGAGGACAGATTGTGACTGCATAGGGTAGCATTGTCTGCAAGCCCCGTATTAGGTGAGGTAACCTAAGAGCTGAGGGGCTAAGATAGGTCTAAGGCAGAGGTGGAAAGGGCACTAACTTTGAAACAAGGAGCCACGAAGTCCAGACCCAACTCTGCCATTCGGTGGTTCTAGGACCCTGAGAGGAACCAGAAGGCCAAGAAAGGAAGAAACAGAGGCCCTAGGCCATCCTAGAAGAACAGCAGGGTAGAATTTCTAACCTTGTTGTGCTTTGCCCGTACCCAGATTGGAGACCCGCACTTGGTGATTTGCATGGACTGCTCAGCAGACACCATGACCAACCGCCTTCTCCAGCGAAGCCAGAGCAGCCCGCGCGTGGATGACAACACCAAGACCATCCCGAAGCATCTCGAAACCTACTACCGCGCATCCATCCCCGTGATTGCCTACTATGAGACGAAAACACAGCTACGCAAGGTGAACCATTTAACTTCTCCCCCTCTAAATGAACCAGCTCCCTCCCTCCTGCCCCAAGAAAAGAGAAAAAGCCAGGTAATTTTGGGTTAAGGGATTTGGGAATTCGAGCTGCAAGCAGCTGCTGAGTTTGGGCCAAACTATGGGTCTCTTACTCTCTTTTGTCTCAATCAAAATTAAGTATCTGTCGTCATATGAACCATGAAACACCAGTCTTATAGTTCTTGCAGATGCTATTATAGTTGCTGAAAACAAATCCTTTTTCCAAGAGAAACAGAGAGAGAGAGACAGGAGTGGATAAGGCACGGGTTCTGCACTAACTTTCTGTAGAACCTCTAGCCCCCAGCTGAACAGGATGATCCAAAAGGTCCCTCTAAATCTATAATTCAACAACTTTGAATTTCTAAATTTTTGCATAGTTCCTGCTTGGCACTTGGCTGCTTTGCCCCAGTTTCCTGCAGTAACTGATGTTATTGAGAGAGGCAGCAGATGGGACCAGGAGAGCAGGTAATTAGATGAAACAGTGAAGATACTGCAGGGCAGTGGGTAGTGGCAGCTTAATGATTGTGAGCTATAATCCACGCTGGATCACCATTAATTTCTTGAATGTGGGCAAACTACCCAACCCCCATTCATGTATTCATTTACTAAATGTGTATTAAGCACCAACTGTGAACCAAGTATTGCCCTAGTGGTTTGGATGCAGATAATAAGATGCGGTTCTGTACGGGAGATGGGCAAATAGTTGATCACAATATGGGGTCAAAGCAAGCATAGAGTGAGTTCCAAGTGCCCTTTAACCCAGCCTGAAGGGAAAGGAAAGATCTAGGGGAAGGTTGCCTGAGGGAAACTGAGGGGAACTAAACTGGGTCTGGGAGGCAAGGTACTGTGAGGGAGGGGTACTTCACACCCAGGGAGCCCCCAGTGAAAAGTCGGGAGGCAAGTAACCCAGCTTGGCTGTGACATACGGTGCCAAGGAGCAGAGAGACAAGAGCTGGGGATGGAGAGGCAAGCAAGGACCAGATCAAGATGAACCTTATGTAGAAGCAAATTATCCTGTGGGTGATGGGAACTACTGGAGGGAACGGACGTAATCAGGGCTTTAATTTACAAAGCTCAGTCGGTCAGCCTCGCAGAAAATGAATTACAAGAAGATAAGACCTGGAGACTATTGGGAGCCTGGGACAGTAATGCAGGAAATGAAAGAAATCCTGAGGCCTCAACCTAGAGTAGGGAGAGTGGGAATCTACCTCTTGCTATTCGCAGAAAGTTAATAGGAAACATCAATAAATAAATAACCAGTTTGTGTCTGAAGCAGCTACATTATCAGTTCCTTGGGGAAAACAATTGATAATGAATTCTTATCTCCTGAACCTGTTAATGGTCCGTTTTACAGAATCCTAAGGAGCCCTGGGTATAGAAGCCTAAAAGGTGCCCCTCTATTTAACTCAAGGATGTCAAATATGTGGCATGAGAACTATCAGCTCCCAACTTCCCCATCCGTGGCAGACGTGGTGAATCCACCTCAGCACTCTTTCTGGCCACACCCAGATGTGGCCTCAGAATGTTTGCGGGCAAAGCACCCCAGGCAGCTCCTACCAATCAATAGGGCTTGACTTGCAAGATGAAACCTATTGGCTGTGCTTCCTGTAACCTCGGGTTGCCACATAAAGTAAAGAATTACATGTTTAAAAATAAACAAGCAGGAAAAAAAAAAGAAGTGTATTATATAAGAGCAGAGTCTTTAGAATTCAGTGTTGCAAAGGCCTTTCCAAGATTAGACAGTCCAGTGATTACCACCCTTTGTACAGACTGAAACACCCGGAAATTATCTAGATCGAAGGAAAATTTTTCCACTTGCAAGATTTATAGAGACAGGAAAAATCCCAAAGTAATTCAGGGCTTAACCACTTTCGGAGTCAGAAAATCCCTTTTATCTCTCTATTCTATTATTCTGACCTGAATTCTACAAATTTGCAAATGAGTTCTCAGAAAAAGCAGATTTCTGGAATTCTCCTTAGAAATATCTAAGTTAATAGGAAAGGACGTTTCCAGGCCCCTTCAGCTTCCCCTGCATTTGAAGATGCTGGCAGCTGGGCTGTGGTGAGGTAACGTTTATGATCCACCTCAAAAGTACTGGAAACCGCTCCAGTCCTGGTTGCAGAGCAGCGTGGGCTCCAGCCCTCAGGACTCCCCTTGCAGAGGGCCTCTGGGGAAGCTGCTCCGTCCCACAGCCTCTGCCCATGACTGTCTCCTACCCATGCAGCTGCTGGGAGGACATTAGAGACGAACAAGCTTCCTCCCCGACCTCGTGTAGACAGCCTTGCACAGGGCCCAGGGAGGTAAGAGTTGTTTGCAGGTGCCCCTTGGGGATGTCAGCAGCTGGGCTCCAGAGGTGCCAACCGGGGGACATTGGAGGAGGGGGACGAGGTTGTTTTTCATTGGAGAAGGAGAAAGCCTCTGTCCCTTTCTGTTCTCTGGCCTTCTGGACTCTTGCCCAGTTCTCTTGCATCAACTTAATCTCCCCTGGTTTCTAAGTAACAGCTTGTGTCTTGTTTCTGTAATGCCTTTGCTTTGTAAGCACCTCCTCCCTATCTCTGGTTCAGTGAGCCCAAGGCAGGGTCCCTCACAGTCCAGGTGGGCTTGTGGGTAATTTTAAAGAGTTTTCTTAAATATAGGGTGGAAGTGGTAAATGCACTTCAAGATACAAGTAAGGCAAATCAGCAGCTAAGGCAGATTTATTAAAGAATTAAGCCGCATGTGTGGTCAACCAGTACAACCCAGAAACAGACCACCCTCCGCAAGAGCTTCCATCTGGCCTCACAGTGCTGCCCAGTTGTGCCTACATTAAATCCATCTGCTGATACCCTGGCCTGATGACAGTCAGCTCTTTTGGCCACCATCTAGCCGAAGGAAGTACAACAAAATTTCAAAGAAAAGGTAATAAAAAAGCAAAGCAGAATTTATACAATCACTGATTTAGTCTTTTGTGTCCTTATTATGCCATCATTGTATAATAAAGTGGAAACGTCTTATAACATAAACCAAGGAGTGGAAGTGTATGTAATACAAATGTATCCCCTGACTTAGAAAAAAGTTTTTCCTCTCTCATAAAGCCAGCTTTACTCTGCACCTAATAAAGAATTAGAACGGAACTTTCTCCATTCCACCCTCTTCCTCCCAGTACTCAGGGCAGACATCATTCATCAGTCATGGCACTTTTTCCTACTAAGTGTACTGGGCCTCAGACTCTTTTCTCAACTGAGCAAGACAGATAACCACATCCAATCAACTGGAGTTAACCCACAAGAGGAAGATTTTTTTCACCCTGAGTGAGAGAATTTATTATCAAATAACTGAACTGTAGCATTTGTGGGGTGAAAAGCATATTTACTGGTTAAAGACCCCCTGGCAGAGAAAATACTGGCCTGGGTGTCAGAAAGCCCCCAGGCACAGTGGTATGAATGAGCCTTGTGCACTTGGGTGAGTACCTCTCACTTCTTCATCCCTAAAATTAAGTGGGTGGAACAGAACTCCATCTCTGAGAACTATACAGGTCTACTGCTCTGTGATTCTAGGGAAAATCTTTTTTCTAATTATAAAAGTAACCATACTGGTTGCTGTGGAGTCGTTTCCAACTCATAGTGACCATATAGGACAGAATAGAACTGCCCCATATGGTTTCCAGGGAGTGGCTGGTAGATTCTAACTGCCAATCATTCGGTTAGCAGCCAAGCTCTTAACCACTGTGCCACCAGGGCTCCATAAAAATAACACGTTTGTTTTAGAAAATACAGAAAACCAGGTAGTCCTATCACTCAAAGACGAACAGTCTGACATACTACCTTCAAACCTTTTTGCTGTACAGTTTTTTAAATATGAATGTGACCATTAAAAAAAAAAAATCCACTGCTGTGGAGTTGATTCTGACTCATAGTGACCCTAAAGGACAGAGTAGAAATGCCCCATAGGGTTTCCAAAGCTGCAAATATTTGCAGAAGTAGACTGCCACGTCTCTCTCTCACGGATGGGCTGGTGGGTTGAACCACGAACTTTTAGGTTAGCAGCCCAGCGCTTTCACCACTGTACCACCAGGGCTCCTGCTGTGACCATAGGTATGTTAATTAGGACTCCTCGGTTGTAGCTAACTGGCACCAACTTCAGCTGACCTAACCTGAAATATAGAACTTAATTACAAGGTTCAGCGACCCAAAGCTGAGTTGCGGCAGGCCAAGCAAGGCTGTGGGACCAGATGCTGGAACGTTCCCCACTGCTCTGCTCTCCTTCTCACGAGCGTCTCCTTCTCTCCCCAACAAGCCGGAATATGGTTACCCTACAGCTTCCACAGTCACATATTGCTGTAACAGTCTGTGAATCCAAGTTCCAGTTCCTGAGAGAAATTTTCTGATTGGGCATGCTTTGATGGCCAGTGCTCATTATAATAAGCAAAGAGAACAGAGCTCTGGTGGTGCAGTGGTTAAAGCGCTTGGCTGCTAACTGAAAGGTCAGTGGTTTGAACCCACCAGCTGCTCTGTGGGAGAAAGATGTGACAGTCTGCATCTGTAAAGATTACAGATTTGGAAACCCTATGGGACAGTTCTACTTTGTCCTCTATGGTCACTGTGAGTCAGAATCGACTCCAGGGCAATGGGTTTTTTGCTGTTGTTGTTTTTGGACAGAGGTATATAAAGAAACAATAATCTTCCTTCCAAACTCATAACCCTCAAATAATCGATCAGTGTTAATAACTACTGTGTGTCTTTCCCGTTACCCTATTCTTTCCCACCTCCTCCTCCTTTGTCTACCTTTCTCTTTTTTTTCTCTCATCTATCCAGTATGTAAACACATTCACACACACACACAAACACACACACACACACACACACACGGTAGAGGGTTCCTATTTCAGGAAAATAGGACTGTCCTGTGCACATTTCTCTGAAACATCTCCAGGTCAATACATATCATGATAATGTTTTCTTTCTTAGCAGTTATGTAATATT